AGATAGATAGATAGATAGATAGATAGATAGATAGATAGATAGATAGAATTCTTTATTGGCCAAGTGTGATTGGACATACTAGGAATTTGTCTTGGTGCAAATACGCTCAATATACATAAAAAAAAGTTATATTCATCAAGAATCATAAGGCACAACACTTAATGATAGTCATAGGGTACAATAAATAATACACATATTTGTAAAAATACCATTACTTCATCCCATTTTACACTTTCACAGTTTGTTTTCCATTGTATTTTACTTCCTTTAAAATTAGGATTCTTTCTTCTTTCTGTTGAGGATGCCCTCTCCATTTCCATAGTGCCCTAATTCCTCATGTACACTTCTTTTGTAATCAAGTAAGCAATACTTTTTGCTCATAATTTTCTGTGCCATATAAAACTGTAATAATAAAATTGTGTGTTGATCTCTCTCTCTCTCTTTTGCTTAGAAATCAAAAACATTTAGAAGAAAAAATAGAGGATTTGAAAAGAAGCCATAGTTTGGCACTTGGTCGGCAGCATGGATTTGAGGAGGAGATCCTGAGATATAAGAAAGAGCTGAGAGAACAACAGTTTAAAAATGCTGAAGAGAAATATAGAGAAATGATGATAATTATGAGGACCACAGAACTGGCAAACAAAGATCTTGACATTTACTATAGAGCACTGGATCAGTGAGTAATATCATACACTCAAGATATTTATTTTTAAAACTAACCCAAATAACATTTGGCTGTTCTTTAATAAATCATTAATATGTGTACAAGATACATGTGTACAAGATGTGTACAAGGTGGGTGGGATGAATATGAAGATATTGTCTGCAAAAAATACCTCTATTTAAATTTTGGAAACCTAGGATCTGATTTTTGGACAGTTCTTACATAATACCTGATAAAATTCAACTTGCAAGTATGTTCTAGGTGGCAATTAAACATGCATACGGGTTGCTAAAACTGAATAAGCTCTGTATTCTCTCATGTATGGTTTAGGTTAGGGTGAATAATCTAGATTTAAACTAATAATATATTCATTATTGGGAGACAAGACTTTGCATATATTTTATTTTGTCTTTTTAACCTGTTACTGCTCATCCATATTTAATAAAGCAGACCTACAAACAAAATAAATAACAAAATATTTATCACTCAGTTAATTTGTTCTGTTCTTCTGCAGTAAAATATCAGTAATAATGGAAAGCTAAAGTTTTTTGCAAAAGTCCCACCAGACAGCAACATATCAACTTTTTCATCCATTCCACTCCAAACGCTGCTGCATTGAGGTTCATCCCACTGTTTTTCCAGGTCTTCCTTCTGTGACTCTTCCTAATTCGTGTATTGGGATGTGATAAGTCTTTGTTGGCCTGTGTGGCCCCAAGAGATCCATTCAAAAACAAATCACAGTCAGAAAAACAACATATGGTAATGACTCATCCTCGTTACCCAGGTGTTTATTAAGCAGATTGGTAGAGTTTGTGGGAAGAAGTGCCCACCATAGCCAGTTTTGTGGTTATTTCGGTACAGGATATTTTGCCAACATTTCTCTGCTGATTCCATATTTCCGCCATATTGAGGACAATATACAAATCAGTATTTTTTCATGCTGTGTCCTGTGATATTGATTGTTACCACATCAATATAGTATCAAGATTCTTAAATATTGCAGGATGTATCCCTGTGTAATAAGAACAGATTGAGCACAAGTGTCAAAAGGATAAGAAAAGGAGACAGACCTATGTGGATTACAAATTTGACTGTTAGAGGAAGAAGAAATTGAGGAAGCACCTACCCTTAAGGGACTTATGAATAATTAATAGATTTGACAGGATTATCAACTTTGTAGATCAAAAGATATACTTTTTGTTAAATGGAGGGGGGGGGTTAGAAATTTGAAACTGCCAGAGAACTGAAGGAGGTACACCTGGGGTTATGGGAAATAGTCTTCAGTTGTGTAGATGTAATTGTTTTGTCTTTTAATTTTGATAAGCCCCTTCTGAGTATTAGAGATGACAAGTACATCGAATATATCGAAGATAGGAAAGAAAGCCTCATCTACACCCTCAGCAGCATCAGCATCAAACCCATCTAATCAAAGATCAGTAGAAAGCATGCTAAGTCTGGAGAAGTCAAGTTCTCTTCAGAATAAGCAAGCGGTGCTACTATTGATCCAAGAAGCCATGACCAAAAGTCAGGAAGCTATGTCAAAAAACCATGACGAGATCAAAAATGAAATGGGGGAGATGATTGGGGATATACGGAAGATGGATGAAAAGATAATGAATTTCCAGCAAATGATAGCAAAAAATGAACAAAGGATGTACAAAATAGAAATAAGGGTTGAGCAAACAGAACAAAAAATGGAAGAAATGGATCAAAACCTATCACAAGCTAACAAAATTAGAAGAGACAATAATCTTTCTCGAGATGGAAAAGGCGGCCTGCTATCTGAGATTTCAGAATATTGTGGAAGAGAAAGAGGAAGATCTGGCTGACGTGATGACAGCTTCTGGCTGGAGTATTACAGAAAAATAAACATGATGTACAAAGAGAAATAGATGAAATACTTAGAATCCATAAAAATTATGCAAGAAGACATAAACTACTAAAAGAGATGCATGTGAGGTTTACCAAAAAGATGCTAAGAAATAAAATATATAAAAGAACTAGAGCCTTTGAAGTATAAAGGGAGAGAAATTGCAACTTTAAAACAGATCCCCAGGAGAGCTAGAGAGCAGTGGAGACAGTACCAATTCTTAACAGCTGATTAAATATAACATGACTTTCAGATGTCTGATACCAGAAGGAATTTTGATTACCTGGCAAGACAAAAAAAATCAGGATGGATACTCTAGTCTAGATAAAGCACATGAATTTTTTGAACACCATTTTACTGCAAATGAAGAACAGGAAAGCAGAGAGGAGATAGAAAACAAAAGGCAAGATGAAATACAAATAGAAGAAAAAGCCCTAGCTCAAGAAAAAAGAGAGAGGGTGGAAAATGAGCAGACAGAACGAGAAGGTACAAGAATAAAAGGACAGAGAGAGATAAGAACAATTAGAACAACTCTGTTGTAATATGTAAATCTGCCTCTGCTGCTGCAGCTTCAACTTGGGCTTCTACAGCTTGTTCAGCGTAGCTGGCTGTCTTGGAGGCCTTAGATGCGCCGCTACAATGGGAGGATGCTCTGGAAGGATGGTGAGAGCTGGCAACAGAGAATTGGCGCGAGAACTGCCTGCGATCTAGCTGATTTGGGATGGAGGGAGGAGGGTTTCTTAGAGCGGAGGGAAGAAGACACATGTGATCGAGGAGCTATATCGGATGTGGCCTGCTCCCTTGACGCTATTTCCTGCCGAAGTACATTGAGGAGCACTGCCTGGAGGGCTGTCTTGCTTGCCTCGACACAGTCTTCGTGTTCCTTGTGAAACTCCTCGAAGCATTGGACGTGTTGTAGGAGTTTGGGGTCACCCAGTCTTGACTGGATGGACTTGAGGTTGTCTTCGCTGTGTCTCCACCGTGCAAGAAGGGCATCTAGATCAAGTAGCAATATGCGGTGTTTCTCAGGGGGCAGCTTGTGTTTTGGGGCATCACAGATCTTCTCAAGCTCTGCCCAGGAGTTTGCGTCACAGCGATATTACTTCTCCCAATCATTCCTCAAGTGTTCTTCCATGGGTTTGGTAAGCTTCTTACTCTTTCTGAGGTCGTAGGCTTTTGGAGGTACCGCCACTTCCATAGAGATTTGGACATCTGAAACTGGGTTTCAGGAACCAGGCTCCATGTTTACAGCAAGGGTGGGTGGAGGGTTCAAGTCCTCTGGTACTTCAGGGACATCCGTCATGGCTGAAGCAGTTGCCATGTTTCAAATTGGTAAAAGGTGACCTTTGGAAAATTTAGTGATTTTCCGTGTAATTCCCTTTTTTGTACTAGGATGCGCTGCAAGCAGGTAGCATAAAGTAGAATTGCTGCTGGATTTAATACTTGAGTACATAGGTGGCGCTGCAGAGTCTGGGCGATGCTAGCACAGCACACAGTATGGCAGTTTCTAGGGTACGATGTGTTTGTTTCTAGGGTACGATGTGCTACACAAGGGGGCATTAGAGGTTAAGTAGCAAAGTCTGAAGACTTGGAGGGCTAAACGCAGAAATATGTGTAGCGAAGTCTGAAGACTTGGAAGCTAAATGCAGAAATATGCCTGGAAGACGCTGTTGCTACTACACTCATGTTAGGTTGCAGTTAATCCTGGAACCTTGAATTAAATTGATTAAATTGTCCATGATAATTGCAAAAAGGGATTATCATTGGATAAACACTGGTCAAATTTGAGAAACTATGTTAAAAAAATATCAAACTCTGGGAAATTTCTCCTTGACCCCCAGATGTAGCTGTGGGTTGCTTTGCTTAGGTCTGTTAGGTTGCAGTTAATCTTGGAACGTTTGAATTAAATTGATTAAATTGTCCACAATAATTGCAAAAAGGGATTATCATTGCAAGCACATATTGGTAAACTCTGGGAAATTTCTCCTTGACCAACAGATGGTGCTATGGACTGCTTTGCTTGAGTCGGGGGGTGGGGGGGAGGTTGAATTCCAGAGGAATTTATTGTTTCCTTGCTGGAAGAAAAACTAATCAATCACATACAACACTCCAAAGGTTTGCTTGCAGTGTTATATGTTTTTTTAATTGTTTAATAAAGATAGGGGAACATGAAGAAATTTTAACATTTTGAGCAGAAAGAGAAATTGTTCCTTTTTAAAACGTTGCTAGGATTAGCCTTCTTTGCTTTGAAGGTGGTCTGTCAGTAATGAATTATGACCCCCAATAAAATGGCCAGAGTAGTTGTAAAAATAGCTGGAAAGGCTTCTCTTATTGCCTCTGAGCTGGAAAAATGCAAAGCCTTTCAGTTGAAATGAGCAGGGCAAAGTTAGTTTTCCTTTCTAAAAATGCCAGCAAGATTTCTGAAACTTTCTTATTGCATTTGGAAAGGGTTTGTAATTGGATGAATACAGGAATGACTGAGAGATACTTGGCCCCTCCCTTTCTTTTACAACTTGGTTCTTTCTGAGTTAGGAATTGTAATTTGAGACACCGCACTTCTTTTGCTGAAGAGAAAAGGAGGGGGAATTTGCCCCTTCCTGGCTTGATACGAAGACAAAGGAATCCTGTCTCAGTAAAGGAGGAGGAAAAAAAAAGATCAAAGGAGGCAAATTTGATTGCCTTTGAGAACCAACGCATAGGATATTTGAAAAGTCTCTTGCGTAAAAGGGGAAGGGGGGATTCTTGCCGCTGCCTGCAATTCAAACTGAGGCACAGAGCTTAGCATTCCACATTCACTTCTCGCTTCCACATTACTTTGCTTTATCACAAATCCAAATTAGCTGTCTTTATATTGATGGGCTTCAGGACTTCAAATATCCATCTTTTTAGTATTCTGTATCCTGTACAGATGCAGATAGATAAACTCCACAAAACATCCATAACAAAGTACTTTTATTGGTTCATCAGGTATCCTCATAACTCACATTTGTGATGAAGTTCTTCTTTAATGACCAATCCTTTGCATATCTGTCTTGTAGGTAAAAAGATGGTTTATATCCTATCCTTTTTCTCCCATCTTGTAACGATAGAAATAGAACAGTTACCATGAGTCCATGAGTTCAGCCAAGAGTGAGGGAAACTCCCCA